GGATTGTTGTTTCCCGAGTTCATGTCCTGGCATAGTTGCCAGACCAGGAGTTAAAAGTTAGAGCAAACATAAAGTTTATTGAAAGGGCAGCAAAGCCTGTTGACAGGTGGAACTTAGTGAAAGAGCTAAGCCAAAGAATGACTGAAGTCCATGATACCGGGTATTAACTGGCTTAGGTCCAAATATTCCATATTTGTGATTGGTTGGCCCCTAATCAACTTCTCATTAAATCTGACCACCTGTCTGTCCTTCTCTTTTTTGAACTGGACATTCCAGGAGGGTCTGGTCAGCTTGTCCTGGCCTTGGAAGTCTGCCCAACTCGTCCTGCCTTGGGGCCCACCATCCACCTTGTGCAGCTGCATCTTGTTACTTTGGGGAGAGGCTTGTTATTTCTCTGAGAAGCCCATTGTTTCCCACACTTCTTTAGATATCTACTTTTAAAGTGCCTCTCTCATCCAAAATGGAGTCACCTCTGTCATTGTTCCCCTTACACTGGGAGCATAGCTCAAGTGGCAGAGCACTTGCCTACCATGCGTGAGGCCCTGGGTTCAATTTGTATACTGCAAAAAAATAAAAAAGAAAGAACTACAAAGGGGTTAGGGGTATAGCTCAGTGACACTGCGTATTCTCAGCATGTATGAGGCCTCAGATCCTCCCAGCACTTACAAAAAATTAAAGGAAAGTGTGGATAAGCCAAAAGAGAAAACATACTAGCCATATGGGAAGAAGTAATGATGTCAAGAGATGAGGAGACAGAGAGAGCAGCTCACTCCAGCAAGACTGGCCAGAATGGCTCTTGCCCTTTTTCACTGGATACTAAGCTGAGTCCACGTGATGTTTCCTTCCCAGCCAGCAGTGTTTGGGGGTGCAACAAGAGTCTCTAAGAGAACAAGTTCTCCTTCTCCTTTTTTAGACAGGGTCTTGCTATGAGACCCAGGCTGGCCTTGAACTCACAATGTGGTCCAGGCTACCCTCAACCCCCCAAATTCTCCTGCTTCTGTTTGCAAGTGCTAGGATCACAGAGAAGCACCACCACACCCAGCTTATATGCTTCTTTCTAGCATTGAACGCCATTCCTCACCTTAAGAATTCAGAAATGATGTGCTTAAGACAAGATGTCTTATAACCAGCTTCCAATTTTCTTCACCATTACCATCCCTATTCTAAAGCAGCCTTCAGGCCCCCAGGAGAAGAGAGAAAGGGAAAAAATATGCAAAGCATATGCATATGGGGATGGGATCCTCCTTTTTTTTTTTTTCCCTCAATGTTTGAGGCAGCAAATGTGACCAAATGTGACCTTTTGGTGATTGAGCTGAGGAATAAACAGGATGGATGTGGGTGTGGTCAGAGGCAGGATGGGCAGTGTAGGTATGAGACAGAGGGACCAGCATGTGAGGGTCTGAGCGGCTCACCCAGTTAGCTTCAGTAACTGAGGGATTTTACAGTGCCTTTTGTAGAACTGACAGGGTGGTTTCAGAACAAGAACCAGCACCTGGAGGCTTATCTCACTGCCTTGGGCTCCTGTTGCCCCATTTCTCCAGAGTTTTATGTACCCTAGCCTTGGCTGCTCTACATTCTGTAAGTCTATACAAGATATATGTGTTCTCATAAGACAACGTTCTAAAAAAGCAGAACTGGGCTTGTTGTGAGCTTTTTAAAGGCCATAACAAAGACAGCATTCTGAGTTTATTTCTCATGTGTTTTGCCTATGGTGAAAGGATATGATATCTAGCCCTACATACCCAAGTCCAAAGTTTTCCCTTTAGTTCTTTTGACTTTCACCTGTAATCCCAGCAGGACAGTCACCTCCTCTGGGCTCTCAGGCCATCCTGTGATGCCCTCACATTACGTGCTGCTTCTACTCCCCAGACTGTAAACTCCCAAGGTGAAGACCATGTTGTGTCCCTATTAGTCACATAGGGCCTAGTTTGCAGATCTTTAGCAATGTTCATTGAATGAATTACCTACCTAATACCAGTGTGTCAATAAGTCCCAGGTTCCTGACACTTTGAAGTGATGCTTGGGCAGTTCTATGGCTCCTGAGTCATAATCCTTAATCTTGTATTGCTTGGTTCTGACCTGTTACTCTGCCTGAAATGCTATTCCCATGACACCATGATATCCACCCTCCAGGCTTCCTTTCCTGGCAAGGGGCCTGATCCTCTTCCCCTACTCTGAGTCTGAGGATCTGGATTTAAGTAGACTGCTCTTCACCACACCCTAACACTGAACCCTGTCTGGATTTCCCACTCAGGGATCTGTCAGTCATTTGACTCACTTCTGCCAGTCATGTTCTGGGATGATGTAGGGATGAAGAGAAAGACAGGAGAATCTGCCCTTCTATTACTGACATGAATCTTGGTCTCTTTTTTGAGACATGGAGGCTGAGTCTTGATCCTATGGCTCCCACTGCTGGTATCACCTGACACCTACATCCTAACAGTTTCGTATGGCCTCCTGGTTAGCAAATAGGTTGATTGCTGGTCCTGGTTTCTAGAGAACTGCTATGTTCTCAACATGAGCTGATGACATTAAATCTCATCCTTAAGGAATAGGGAATAAGATTTTTGTTTGTTTTTATAAAGTTTGCCTTTTTTTGTAAAGTTTGCCTTTTTACACTTCAAATAGGGAAAACATTGCAGATATCTAGAATAAAGAAGTTAATTTTATATTGCTAGATGATCCATTTTTCTCAAAATGAACGTTTATTTTTTATGATTATAAAATTACAGACTCTTGTAAAAAGTCACACATGTGTAAGAAAAATAATATAAGGAAGAGAACAAAGATCAGTCAAATGCTATCACCTAAAGACAACCGCACATTGAGAACAAGGGCTTTGGGCACACCTGGTTTGGAAACACATCTCCACCACTTACTGGGCAAATTACTTGTCTGAGTTCCAATTTCTTCATGTGTAAAATAGAGGTAATAATTTAAGCTAGGTGACATCTAAAAATAGGTAGTGGATAGGTGATAAAGATTAAATGAGAATATTTATGTAAAAGTTCTAACTCAGTGCCTACACACTCAGTGAATGACAAGTGACAGTGAATATATCTCAGTTCTGCTGGTTTCTTAATCCAGTGTTCTTCCTCTTAAATTTTACTGCCTTTAGTGTAACTGAACTTAAATCAATAAACATTTATTGATAAACTATTAGATGCTGGTATTGTTATTATAAAGAGGGTAGTTCTAAAATCCTATTTAGCTACTTGTTTAAACAAACCTTATTTTGGAATCTATATGGAATTGAATTCACTTTTCCTATTAACAATATAAACTTGATTTCAAATTTGGGCCCTTTCTTTTTTGGTGAAGGATAACAGAATCTAATAAGGTTGTTTGAGTCTTAACTGAGTCATTTACTAGAAGTATGCACAACATGGTAGACACTTGATAAATAATAGATTTTATTATGTGAGAAATGCACACAAATAGATTTTCTTTAGCATTTATGTAAGTGAAGATATTTACTTTTGACCCTAAACTTTTCAGTAATTACATAGATAAGGTACTAATCTCCTGAACATGGTCATAGGTTTATTTACTGGCATTTACTAGCTATTGTTCCCTCCTAAACCAAACAATCATTTGTTTCTATGGACTAAATGAAGTAGAGTAGCACCTGCTACAATATGCCTAGTACTTAATAATGTAATTGCCAACTGTTACTGATTTTATTGTGGGCAGGCACATATTATCTCACTTATATCCCTGGCCAAAAAGAATTATTTCCCTTCTCATCTGCTCTTTCTCCCAGTCTTTTACATCTTACAGGGGGATCACTATTTACCTAAAGATTTAGGTTCCAAATCTAGACATTTTCCTTGCTTCCTGTCTTTTCCACACTCCCCATTCGTTTACTTCATTAGTAGGGTTTGCTGATTCTAAAAGAAAACGCAGGTCAACAGTTCTATTTCCACTACCACTACCCTGTTTTTTTAAAAAAAAAATTTTTTTTGCTTGTTACCACTACCCTATTTTAAGCCACCACTCTACCTCCCAGAACAGTATCTGGCTTTTGCTGTCTTGAATGAACGCATATTGTAGCAAATCTTTGAAGTGGACACTATTGTTATTCTCATTTTATAGGTGAGGAAAGACTGGTGGTAGTTAAATAATTTACCTAAGGTCACACAAATAGCAAATCCAGGATTCAAATCCAGACAGTCTAGTCATAGAGCCTGCTTGGTTATCCACTATGACACAGTATTGAACTAACTTTTCTTCCCTCCCTCCCTTATGAAAAATTTAAGTTGAAATTCTCCAATCTGAAGACTTTTCGCCAAGCTTTCCTGAGAATAAAGTTCATGTGTCTCTTCACACAGCCTGGCAGGCACAGAATGATTTGACTTTTCCAAGTCCCACTTTCCTCACCGGCCTCTTCTCCCAGCCTTCCAGCAACTATAATGAACTTTCTCTTCCTAGCAATGCTCCTGCCTTTATCAGAAACTCTCTCATCAGCTCTGGAAACCCCCCAATTTCTTATTTCTGAAAGATGAACAGGCAGTACTTAATCCCAGCCAGCATCACTTTACCAAAATAACTCGTCTTTACTGTCCACTGCTGCGCACCAGTGCCTAAGAAGCGTCAGGAAACAGAACAGATAGTTAATATATTTTTGTTGAATAAAAGCATCAAATGGCATGGATCACGCCCACTCCGCGTTAAGAGGAATCGAACCCCAAGGCTCTGCGCGCTACCATTCAGCAAAATCCCCAGCCAGCAAGAATTTAGCAATTTCCAGGTGGAAATTGTGAAGTATTTGGTCCTAAGTCTCTGTTTAAGTGACAGAGGTGAGACCTGAAGCCCTGCTCCAAGCTACACACCGTGGAGGACCACCACCAAGCTCTGACATTCATTTCCATCGGCTCCTCCTAGCTCCACCCACCACAGCCCGCGCCGTTCCTGGACTAGTTTGACCCTCAAGCGGCCGCCGTAGCGCGTTGCCTCCGTTGCCGTGGGAGACGACCCCGGACCTGAGAGGGAGCAAAGTTGTTTCCCGCCGGCGGGAGCCGTGGTTGAAGCTAAGAGAGGGGCTCGGAGCCGGTTTGCCAGACGCTGCAGCACCATGGCGGACCAGCTTTATCTGGAAAACATAGACGAGTTCGTCACGGACCAGAACAAGATCGTGAGGCACTAGGACTGGGGAATGCGGGCATGCGAGTGGGGTCCTAGGCCAGGCTAGGGCAGCTGGGGCCTTGACCCCTGTGTTTGTGCCCGCGTGGGGAAGACAGGCCGAGGGGACACAGGTCAGGACGTTTGGTGCCTCGGGGCGCGCGAGGACGCTCCGCGAGCCCGCGTGCCTCGGGTGGGCGCGTGGGATCTGTGCGCCCGTGCCAGCCGCGGTGGGCAGGCCAGGGAGAGACGGGGGCCAGAATTATTTCCAATTCCTTCCCCTCCCCCCAACACCTGTCCTATCACGTGCTTGGCGTGTGAGGTCCCAGGTTTACAGTCGAGAAGGTTGCGTCCTACTCAGGATAAGTCCAAAGTTGTTTATCCTCCACTCGTTTTCCTCTTCCTGATAGAGGCGTGGCCCGCCCCGCAGGCGGGCATAAAGATCAAGTGAGACCGTAGATGTGGACACACTTTGCAAGTAAAACTGTGATGACTGGGAGCCAAGACACCTTGGATATGTATTGTCGCGCGCTTAGTCTTTACAGTGGCCCGCCCCGCTCGCCCTGGAGGGCGGTAGTGGTTTCCCTGGCAGAGGACATTGGAGCAGAGGAGCCACATACCTTGCTTGTGAGCAGTTAGTAAGGGATACAAACTAGCTCTGGAAACTCGCCCTGTCGCCTCCACTAAATGCTACGCTGCCTTTGCCCAACCATTATTAGTCGTGAACGTATGGGAAGCTCAGCATTTAGAATTGGAAGAGACTTTGAGAGAACAAGCATATTGAATGAAGGAAGGATGAATGCTTAATGTCAGTAGTTCCTCATTAACCCTGATACAATGCTTATCCACTTCATTTTTCTGCCCCTGCACCACCTGTGTCCTTTAAAGTTGTATGACTCCAACTTTCCTTAGAAGTTTCTGAGTTATGCTATCTCAAAGTAGTCTAGCTTCTTGGTGAGTTTTAGGATAGTTTTGGGTTGTGGTCCCTCAATGATAAAGTGAAAAAAGGGCATAAGTAAAATGAGGAGTGTGAGGAAATAAGGGTTTGTTGTTGTTTTTTGAGTATTGGGGTTTAAACTCAGGTTCTCGCGCTTGCCAGGCAGGCGTTCTACCATTTCGGCCATGCCCCTAGTTTTTTCTTTTAATTATTTTTCAATAGGGTCTCCAATTAATGCACCATTGGCCTAAGGGCGCACAACCTCCCTATTTATGCTTAAAGCTTTGCTGTGATGACAGCCATGGGACACTAAGCCTACCTTTTATTGATTGAGGTCACTTGAACTTTTTACCCACGTTGTTGTCAATCTCTGTCACCCTAATCTCTGTCCTCTGGAGCAGCATAAGGTAACACACCTGTTCCCCCCCCCTTTATGTATATTCAGCCTGCATTTTTAGATTCTTTTGTGTAAGTCTGTGGAACAAACTTTTTAGTATTTGTAAGGTAAATATCTTGGTCCTACCCACCCAGATAGATGGTTCTTCTAAATTACAATGACATCTATTATCATTTATACGGTATAATCATCTAAAAATAAGAATCTTTAGGAGTCAACTTTTGGGACTATCTGCATGCTGGAGCAATTTAATTAAACATTTAAAAATGTTCTTTTTCTTGCAGGTGACATACAAATGGCTGAGCTATACCCTAGGGGTTCATGTTAACCAGGCAAAACAGTAAGTTCAATTTACTACCAATTTTAATGACACTGGAGTTTTTTGTTTGGTTTGCTTTGTTTTGACTCTATACATAACCCCTAGGTTAGAACTGATTTTTTTGTTCCCTTGGGTAAATGGGAAAGAATAGTATTTTTATTACCTTTTACTACTTTTGTCTTTCTTAGGAGATTGGTGGACTTGTATACAAATGTGTGGTGATAAATTTACTGGATTTATTTGCAGTCTTGGTCTCTGGTTAATATCACTTTGCTATTTCAAATTTATTAAATGGGCTGGCCAGTTATGTTTATAGCTGAGATTTATGTGTCTGTTGTCTTACATCTTCATCACATTTTCACATGTGCTTCTTAGGCCCATCTTCGGGTGTTATTGAAATATTTCCATAATGAGGCCAACAGGTGTTTGACACAAGCAGTATGACAGTATAAGAAGGGAGAACTATTTACGTAAAACTTAAAAAGGAGTGTTGCCCTTGTTGAATTTTGTCATATCACATTTCCGTGCTGAAAATTGTCCAACTTGAGGCCAAAAGGGAAAATGCAAGCTTTTGAACTAACTTCAGACTTTTTTGAACTGCAAAAGTGCAGATTTTGCCTTATGTCCCAAGGGGAGGAATTGGTGAACTAGCTGAGGACACATGTATTTGGTTAAATGGTCTTCTGGTTTGTTTTCTTCATAAGAGTGGCCTGATTTTTGTCTATCCGATTTTAGCTGTGATATTTAAGCTTTCAGAACCTGAAACTGTGTTAGTCCAGGCATAGATTTGAATTGGTTTTGACTGAGATTTCCCAAGACCAATCCTGGCCCAAACCAGGAACTTCAGTAACTTGGCAATCGATATGTATAAGAGATTTGTTCTGTGAGCAACTGTTACTAAATTTATTTGTTGGAGTTTAAAGATGCATATCATTTTATTGTTTTCTGAAGATGAACTAAAGATGCCTATCATTTTATTGTAGCTTACCTGGTTACATAGGTGGGTTTTTTTTACAGCATTACACGTTGTCTAGCTCCTGCCTGTCTACCCAACTTCATCCCATACCACTCTCTACCTCACTTACTATGTTTTTGCCATATTTGCTTTTCAACAGACTATGCCAGACACATTCTTACCTTAGGATCTCTTTACCATTTCTTCTGCCTGGAATGTTCCTCTCCAAACTTCCCTCATCCTTCAGGTTTCAGCTCAAATTTTTCATTGTAACAAGCCTTCCCTAATGCTCCATTTTAACTATCGGTCATCCTTCCCTAACTCTGTCACACTATTCTGTTAATTTCTTTCATACATAATTTTAAACATAGATTTATTGACATATAATTTGCATGCCATACAACTCACCTAATGTATCATGGTTTTTAGCTATCACAGAGTTGTGCAACTGTCACCACAGCCATTTGTAGAATATTTTCATCACTCCAAAAAGAAATAATATACCCATTTACAGTCACTCACCATTTCCCCAACCTCCACCCCACCTCCCATCCCTAGACAATCATTAATCTTTCTGTCTATAGATTTGCCTGTTCTGGACACTTATATGCATATAAATGGAATCACAAAATGTATAGACTTATATGTCTGGTTTCTTTCACTTAGTATGTATATGTTTCCGAGGTTTGTCCAGGTTGGGGCATGTATTAGTACTTAATCCCTTTTTATGGCTAAATAATAATCCATTATATAGTATATTCATTTCGTAGGTCTAGGAATGCCATAATATATTACTACAAACTGAGTGGCTTAAAACAACAGAAATTTATTGGTTTAGTTCTGGAGGCTGGAAGGCTGAAGTTTTGGCAATGCGGTGCTCCCTCTGAAATGCATAGAAAAGAATCCTTTACTTACCTTTGCCTACTTCCTGGTGGTTTGCTGGCAGTCTTTGGTGCTTCTTGGCTTGCAGCTGCCTAATTGCAGTTTCGGCCCTCATTGTCCCGTAGAATTCTCCCTGTTTGTCTGTATCTTCGAAGCGCCATTTTCTTGTAAAGACACCGTTCACATTGGAATAGGATCCGGAAACACTATGGTACAAACAGACCAATTATGTCTACAGTAACCGTATTTCCAAATAAGGTCACATTTTTAAGGTATTAGGAGTATTTTAACATATCTTTTTTTTAGACATAATTCACCCCATAACATGGATATACCAAATTTTGTTTGTTCTTCTGTTAATGGACATTTGAATTGTTTCACATTTTGACTATTACAAATGATGTGGCTTGTGAGCATTTGTGCACTAGTGTTTGTGACTAGTTGTACTATTCTCCATAATCTCATCAACCACATGTGAGGATTCCAGTTTCTCCACATTATTGCAAACATCTTTTATTCTGTATTTTGGCTGTCATAGTAGATGTGAAGTGGCATTCTCATGTGGTTTTGATTTGTATTTCCCTAATGATGTGTTCTTACTGGCCATTTGTGTATCTTTGGAGAAATAGCTATCCCAAGATCTTGCCGATTTTTTCATTTGATTGCTTTATCGCTGAGTTTTAAGATTTCTTTATATAGTCTGGATGTAAGACCCTGTTCAGATATATGACTTGCAAAAAAAACCTTCTCCCATTCTGTAGGTTATCTTTGCACTTTCTTGATGCTGCCCTTTGAAATATACTTTTTAAAATTTATTTTTCTTTTATTGCTTACATTTCTTATGTAGTATCTAAGAAGGCTTTGCCTAACTCAAGGGTGGCTAAAGGTTGTGAAGATTTACTCCTGAGGGTTTTGTTTGTTTTGAGACAGAGTCTCAGTATGTAGCCCAGGCTGGCAAGGAACTCACAATCCTTCTGCCTCCATCTCTCATCCAGTATTTTCTTCTAAGGATTTTGTAGATTTTGCTCTTACATTTAATTCTGTCATCCATTTGGAAGTAATTTTAAAAATCATTGCTAATTATCATTCACTATATTTAAGTTTTCTGTAGATCATGTGGGCATTGACCTAAAAATGCTTACATCCTCATCAAAAAAAAAAACCAAAAAACATTAAGACTTTCAGATTAGGTGTTAGTTCATGCCAGTTTTTAAACAAAGCACTAAAATATATAAATATTGACCATGTCTTTTAGGAATCATTGGGGAGGGGGAGTATTTTGCTTTGTTGTATGTTTGTGGTCCTGGGGTTTGACCTCAGAGACTTGAAGTTGCTAGGCAAGGGCTCTACTACTTGAGCCATGCCTCCGGCTGGAGTTAATTTTTTGTGTATGGTGTAAGAAAAGGGTGCAATTAAATTCTTGTGCGTTGTCTCAGCACTTGATAATTCTTATTACTGTGACATTTTCTTGTTATATTGTCTTCCCCAACTAGAAGCTCCATAAAGGCAGGAAACTTGTTAGTCAAGTTCACCACTATTCTGTTTACCGACAATTTACTCCAATATTTAGTGGCTAGAAACAACCATTTTATTACAGTCCTGTCCTTTTGGTCTGGAATTTGGATTGGTCACAGTGGGGATGACTTATGTCATTTCTATGGTGTTTGATGCCTTAGCTGGGAAGTTTCAACAACTGGAGCTCAGTCATCTGTAGGCATCTTTATGCATATGTTTGTGATCAGTGTTGGCCATCAAGTGAGACTTTAGCCAGAGCTGTTAACCAGAGTACTTCATATAGCCTGTCTGTGTGGTCTGGGCTTCCTTACAGCACGGTGTATTCAGGCAGCCAGATTTCTTATACAGCAGCTTAGGACTTCAGAAGTTGTGTTCTAGCAGATGACAAAAGCCAATCCTTATTTCTGACCAGCTCAGAGTGAAGCAGTGAATCACTAACCCTCGCAGATGGGACTGAACTCTGTCTCAGAGCATCTGGAATGGAAGATGCTGTCTCAGCCATGTTTGGAAAATCTATGCTCCACTCATTGTATTTTTAGTACCTGACACATAGTAGGTACCAATAAGTATTTGTTGAATGAGTTTTAAGTACTATGGTAAGTATCTTCACAAACATTCTTTCACATACTCTTGATAGCAATCCGACGTGATGAGTGTTAACAAGTTCTTTTAACAGATGAGAAAACTGAAACTGAAACGAGATTCTCTTGCATCGTGTGTGTGTTGCTAGAGAGCAGACCCAGGGCCTCATGCACACTAGCAAGTGCTCTACCACTGAGCTACCACTCCCATCCCTCTTGCATCTTTTTTGTCTTTACTTACAGGGTAAGCATTTGTCACTCTTGGCGCTGAAGGCAGTGACTGGCATGGTGGTTACTAATCTGCTTGTATTGATTCAAAAAATGTTTTTTCAGTTCTTACTATGTTTTTAGCAATATTTTACTTTGTCTCCAACAGCCAGGGTCTCTCCCCTCATTGATTTAAAGAAGATAATTTCAGGGTATGAAAATGTGATGGAGGAATAAAATGGGGCTAGGGAGGTTAGTGTGGACTACACAGGATATTCATCCTGGGGGAAATTATGAATGGAATTGATCAGGAAGGAAAATTAATGAACTAAAATGGGAGACTGTAATCATGTGTTAGAAGTATTATTTTATAGGAAGTCATGTTGCCATTCATATTTAAGAAGATTTCATATATTTTGTTAAAAAAATTGACTTAATTAGGTAAATGTGGTAGACTTAGTGTGCATACTTTTTTTTGAAAGTTTGTTTTGAACTTGATTCTTACTAATAATATAAAAGAAAAATACATAAAAATGGGGAGATCACATAAAAATGTGAAAAAAATCCTGTAATAGAAAACGTGGGGTTGATTTGAGGAGACCAATGCATGGAGGATGATTGAAGATGTTGGCAAGATTAAGAGTTGTGGTAAAAGACTATTTGGCCAACAAGTGTGTTAGCACCTCAGACATGGTACCTGCCTGTCTTGTCTTTTAGTGGTATGGTCCTAACTAGCATAAATAAACTAAAATGGTCAAGAGTTTGATACCTCTCCTGTCCTTCTACTAACATAATTGCTGTAGTGGAAGGAGACATGAGAGAGCAGCAAAAATGGCGAATAGGGCACATTTTTATCTTCATGGTGCTGATAGTAGTGGGGAAGGCAGACATATAAATTAAGTAATTAGAGTACAGTGGATAAGTGCTATAATAATAGGTGGAGAATAAACTCTGTTAGTGCTTAGAAGGCAAGGTGCCTTGCTGACCTGGTCATGGTGTTAGGGAGGGCTTCGTATAGGAGGTATTAAACGAGCTGCCATCTTAATGAGGAATTGGATGGGTGAGGCCTGAGAGAATAATGTTCCAGGTAGAAGGAAGGGCATATTACAATCAGAGGAGCCAGGGGAAGTACAGAGTTTCAAAGGTTGGACATGGCGTAGGTGAATGGTGAAAGATAGAGATACAGGGTCCAGGACAATAAGGGTCTTACACATGATTAGTAGGGATTTGAAGTTGATCTTTAGAGAATGATGAACTTCTGAAAACTTTGGAACAAGGACTAATATTCCAAACAAGAGCTAACTGTCTTTCCATCATTAGTAATAACTAGTAGGCATCTCAAATGTAGCATGCTCCAAAATCTAACTTGATATCTTCCCCCAGCATCTGCTTTGCCTGCTCCCCCGCACTGCCCCCAGTCTCATTCTTTGAGTTGCTTATTCCAGTCGTCCTTTTTTTTTTATTTCTTTTATTCATATGTGCTCCAGTCGTCCTTGACTCCTTTCTCTCACACTCCACAATCAATCCACTAGCAAATCCTGTTGTTTCACTCTAAAATATAACTAGAATTTATTAACAGAATACTACCTCCCCTGCTACTACCTTAGTTTGAGCCGCCATCACCTCCATCCTGGATTACTTCAGTAGTCTCCTAACTGGTCTCCTGCTTACCCTTGCTCTTCTATAGTATGTGTGACACAGCAGTCAGGGATCTTTGTACAGGTGAGATTACAGTACTTCTGCTCCAAACTTTCTGATGGTTTCCTTTCTGAGAGTCCTTATGGTGACCACAAAGCCAGATATGTCTGGCATCTGCTCTTCTAGTACCCTCCTTCTTTATTCTGCTTCAGCAAATTCACCTCCCTTCTGTTCCTTGAACCTTGTTAACTTTCTTGCCTTAGAACATATGCTGTACTGTCTGCTGGATTCCTTCTCAAGATATCCACATTGGTGCCTCCCTAACTAGGGAGCTCAGCTTATAGGACCTTCCCTAATCACCTTGAGTAAAATTGCAAAGCTTCTTCTTCAGCATGCTCTACCCTCTTTATCTTACTTGATTTGATTTTCCCTGTAGACTTAACTCCCATCCAAGAGTACATATTTGCTTATTTATTTATTGTCTCTTTCCTAGAATGTAAGCTCTAGAAAGGTAGGAACTTTGACTGGTTTATTCACTGCTCTGTCCCCAAAGCATAGGACCTAAAGTGGCTACTTAGTAAATTTTTTTTGATTGAATGACTTGATTTGCATTTTTAAAACTTAACTGTGACAGTAATATGGATAATAAAGGTAGAGAGAGAGGAAGACACTTAAGATTTGGGATCAAAGTAGTCCATTCAAGAGATTTTGGGGGCATGGAGTCAAGAATTACTTGGGAGGGAGAGCTGGGGAGACCTGGCAACTCACTGGATAGGAAGGTGTAAAGGGCAGTAACACCCAGATTCCTGGCTTGGGTGTTTTGAGCAAATGATGTTATCAGGGGTAATTGAAGCCATAGGGATGAAAAAATAGACCAAGGAGAATATGTAGTAGGGTGACCAACCATATTCCATGACTTAGGAGAGCCCTTACATCTACGCAAACCAGGATGAGTGGTCACAGTAACACAGATTTAGAAGATGGCCAAAGACAAACCAGCAGTTAAGGAAAGGGAGGAGTAGAGAAGTCTGTGCAGGAAGTAGAGCAGAGACAGTTGGAAGTATAACAGGAGACTCAGTGGGGCGTGGTTTTATGGAAGATAAGAGGGGCAGTCGGAGAAGAGTGATCAACAATATTTTGACTTTCTCTTGGAAATTTTTTTTTTGGTCAGTGCATGGGTTTGAATTTAGGGCCTTGAGCTTACTAGTCAGGTGCTCTACCACTTGAGCCACACCGCCAGTCCTATTTGCTTTAGTTAATCTTCATATAGGGTCTTGCTTTTATGCCCAGGCTGGGACCACAATTCTCCTATTTACACATACTACGTAGTTGGGATCACAATCGTGCCTCACTGCACCCAGCTTTTTATTGGTTGAGATGAGGTCTTGAAAACTGCCTGGGCTGGCCTCAAACATCCTCTCAATCTCTGCCTCCCGAGTAGTTTAGGATTGTAGGCATGAGCCACCATGCCCTACTCTTGGAATTTTTGAGTTTCTGGCTGCCCTGGGCTGAAGTAAGACATTGTAGAAGCTCAATAAATATTTCTTGAAATAAAAGACAAGTGATACATCTCTTTTTGTTGTTAAACTATAAATTATCGAAGGCCATCAACTTCTGATATTTGCTGAATGATAAGGATAAAAATGAATATAAGGATTTTACTGAAAGCAAACTTGTTCATTTGGTGTCTGGCTACATCAGGTTAATGAATATTCTGGATCTGAGTGGTGTAAGTAAGCTGTTACGTTGTGCAGTTATGAGACAGTTGGATCTGAGTAATTGTCAAATTTGGATTTCAGAGCTAAACATTTGTGATCATATGCATAATAGTTTGTAATGTTTTGGAATACTGAACTCCTAGAATTTATTGAAAACCCAGAATAATCTTCCACAAAAAAATGTGTATTTGCTGATACTTTGAGAGTAGGGAGTTATAAAGGGCCATGTGAATCCCAGGTTAAAAGCATCACTAATTTAATATAGGGCTCCAGTTTTATACCTTAAGATACTAGAAAAATTCACTAATATATCCTGGATTCCTTAGCTAGATTATAATGACAGAACTTACTCTTGATTCAGCATTGTAACCATTATGTATCATTGCCACTAATTTTGTGCAAGTTCTGTCCCTCTTGGCCTATCATTAGATTTATTTCAGTTACTGAGTCACTGTGCCAACAAGTTGACGCCAATCTTCATGACCCAATTAAAGTCCATTCTTTTTTAAAAAGTCTGTTTGTAGACTGAACAAAAACTATGTTTAGAAAATTTGATGGATTATCAGATTTCATATATCTAATTTTAAAGTCATGAATTAAGACTTGATGAGGTAAAAATTCTTACTAATGAATTACTTTTTCCTTCTTTGGAACAGGATGCTCTATGATTATGTTGAAAGAAAACGGAAGGAAAATTCAGGAGCCCAACTGCATGTCACCTATTTGGTGTCTGGTAGTCTCATTCAAAATGGACATTCTGTAAGTTCTCAGGATCTTATAATGAGCTTTGATGTGCTTAAGCTGTACAGTGTTATAACCTAACACAGGGGAAAGAAAAAGGATTCAGTATTACTATGGGATTTTTTTTTTTTTTTTTTGCTGTACTCACGTTTGAACTTAGGACCTTGAACTCTCTACCACTTGAGCCATGCTCCCAGATCTTTTTTGCTTTAGTTATTTTTCTGATCAAGTTTCTTGCTTTTTGTGTAGATCCTGTCTTTAGGCCACCATCCTCCTACATATGCCTCCTGCATAGCCAGGATTACAGGGGTGGTTTTTTGCTTTGTTTTGTTTTCTTAGGATCCCAGTATGTAGCCCAGGCTAGCCTTGAACTTTAAATCCTCCTGCCTCAGCCTCCCAAATGCTGAGATTGTAGATGTATGCCACTATCCGCAGCAATTTAATTTTGTGCACTCATTTGGTAGCGTTATGTATAAGTGGCTGACAGTTGAGGGGCTATTGACCTGGGGGCTAAGCTAATACAGTGCAGAGGCATGGGCTGGGAGCATCTTTATGCTCCTGCATCTTGTTACTGCTGATTTTTCAGCATCTCAACAACAAAGCTTTCTTAGTTCTGACTTTCCCTTGGCTACTTCCATGTCTTTCTCAGGTGCACAGTGATCATTCTAATTGTCCCATGCCTTGGTAGGCACCAGAAGCTCTGCTGAGATCTCCTGTTCCATCTGCACCAGACTGAATCCTGGGAACTTTCATATTTCCCCTCTCTGCCTTCCTCCCAAAAGTATGGCATATCTTCTCTGTTCTTAATTTCCTAAAGCCTTTCTGGAGGTTCTTTTGCTTTTCCTACCACCATCCTCATGGGACTTGGCCCAAGGATCAGGGCCCCTTCTCAGAGATCCACTCATATGTGTTTTCATTTTCCTTTCTGACTTTCCTTCAAAATCATAGATTTAGAATCCTGATTTGTCAAAAAAAAAAAAAAAAATTTTTTTTTTTTTTGACTGGATTTCTCTTTTTTTTTTTACTGGGGATTTAACCCAGAGCCTCACACATACTAAGTGCTATAGCACCTGAGCCATACCTCCCAGCTCTGGATTTGTATTTTAGCAAAGTCCTAAGCATGTGAGATTAAAAACTGGGATGTTAGGTTAGCAATTTACAAGAAGCAACAAAACTGCTGGAGGGATCAGATCCTTATATTCTCTGGCCAGCATTTTCTTTCTTTTGGCAAGCTATTTGGCAAGTCAAATGATTATCAAGATGTTTACAAGTGTGGACTCAAATGTCATTAGATATCTGAAACAAGAAATTAAGCAGACCTGATTGATTTACTCTCTGAGGTAAACCTGCCACTAAAAGTCTCTCCCTGAATCATTCTGGAATGGGTAGTGTCAAAGTTTGTAGCTACATGTCATCTTTCTGTTTCTAATTTTAACTAACTTCCTTTCTCTTTTTGTTTAGTTATGTCAATATCTTCAAGCCAGTAAAGTCAAGTCTTTATCTGGGACTCATTATGTTCCTTTAAAGTACAGGTTGAGTATCCCTTTTCTGAAATGCTTAGGGCCAGAAGTGTTTCAGGTTTTAGATTTTTTTAGATTTTGGAACATTTACATATATATAAGATATCTTGGGAAGGGGACCCAAGTTTATACATGAAATTCATTTAAGGTTCATATATACCTTATATACACAGCCTGAGGTAATCTTGTACAATATAATTAATAATTTTGTGCATGAATTACCCACTTTTGGCATCATATCAGTGCTCAAAAGTTTCCGAGTTTGTAGCATTTTGGATTTTGGGTTAGAAATGCTCAACCTGCAGTGGACTTTTTTTTGTTGTTTATGATCCTTTTGAGAATCTGAAAGAGAAATAATATGTTAACGTTCATGAAAGTTTGAAAGTTCACAGCTCTTCTGGACTAGGACCTAAAGTTAGAATTTATGTCTTAAGAAATATAGATTTTTACTCTGTAACTCACTGTGACAGGGACTCTTAATTTGGAATCCCTAAATGCTCTTTGTGGTTGGTCTTTATGGTTTGGGGGATTCTTGGATGAAGTCTTCATGATGCATTCAAGTTGTACTCTGCATTTTTCTAAGAAAAAAATTTTCCCAAAATGATTTGTAAACTATAGTAATTAAAAGTCAATTAAAAACTTACAGGAGTTGTGTTAGGCAGCTTTCCATTTCTGTAACAAGACACCTCAGATAATCAAAAAAAGGAACGGTTTATTTTAGCTCATGGTTTCAGTCAATGGATGGTTGGCCCTGTTGCTTTTAGGCCTCTAGTGAGGCAGGACTGCACTAGGAGCATGTAGCAGGGGAAACCTTCATTTCATGGCTGAAAGTAAAAGAGGAAGAGTCTGTAGTGTTCCACAGTCCCTTCCAAGGGCATGCCCCATGACCGAAACCTCCCACTAGACCTCACCTCGTGCAGTTCTATCTCCCAGTAGTGCCAATCTGCTGGCTACGCCTTTAACATGGACCTTTGGGGGACATTTAAGACCCAAGCTATAGCAAAAGGTAAACACTTGCTTACAAAGAAAGGGCCTAGTGTTTCTAAATTTAAGAGGACTTTTAAATTCTCATCTTTTTCAAAGTACTTTTTCAATTAAAGTCTTAATCTGAATCCTAACACCTACATTGGAAGTGAGGTTGCTGTGGTTGAAGTGGTTGTGAGGGTTCTGGAGCTATAGACGCGCCCTCCTTGCAGCTCCCGGGAAGCTCTTTGGAGCCCTGTGAAATTAGTGATCAAGTGCAGGTGCTTACCATGCTCTTTCCTTGAAGGAAGTCCTCCTGAGGAAAGGCAAATTTAAGCATGATATCAGGTTTTATTTTAATTTCTTTTTAAAGTTTTAAGTGTTTTCTTCAAAGAAAAAATTTACATAGGCTTTCTATGGATTCTTTAAAATACAAACAAATATAATTTTTCTAAAATTCATGATTATTATAAAAAATGTTTAACAGTATATAGAAAGTGCCTTCTATTCTCATCCCAGAGAGTCTTATATTTGAAATTTTTGAGGTAATGTTTGGTTTATTGTCTTTTTGTGATGTTAGTTAGGAGTTAACCTGATCTATTCATTGTGAGTTCCTCATTAGCTTTTTTTTTTTCTTCTTTTTTGTGGTACTGAGGTTTGAACTCAGGGACTACATCTTGAACCACTCCACCACCCCTTTTTTTTTTGTGCAGAATTTTTTTCAAGATAGGGTCTTGTGAACTTTTTGCCCAGGCTGGCTTCGAACCATGATCCTCCTGATCTCTGCCTCCTGAGTAGCTAGGATTACAGGGGTGAACCACTGGCGCTCAGCTCCTCATTTGCTTTTCATGTAGTGATTTTTAAATGAGATTGACTTTTATCGTTGCCTAAAACATTAATTCACTAGAGATTACAAAATGATGTTTTTTGGGGGGCTGGGGTCATGGCTCAAATGGTAGAGTGCCTGCCTAGCAAACAAATGTGAAGCCCTGAGTTCAAACTCCAGTACTGCCAAAAAAAAGAAAAAAAGCCAAAATGGTAATTGTTTTCTTTTTATGTGCAAATTCTTCTAATATTGATTCATTTCTAACAAGTCAAAATGGATTTTTTTAAATGACAAAATGGTGATGTTTTAATCTTTTGTAGTTAATTAGTCCAGCTAATGCTAGACTCTTGCTATAAAAAACTTTTACTGGAGCCAGGTGTGGTAGCATGTGCCTGCACTCCCATTACTTGAGAGGCTGAGCAGGTGGGTCACAAAGTCAAGACAAGCCTATGCTACATAGCAAGACCCTGTCTTAAACAAAGCAAAGCAAAACTTCCACTGACTAGCCATTTTTTCCCCTTAACTGTTGTAGCTCCATGGGCTTTCCCTCTGTCATGGTCTAGGTTTGTGATGCTGAACTCACTCCTGTGCTTACCTGATTCAGAGCGCCCCTCGGGTTCCCTCTATTGCTGTACTGGCAAGCTGACGTTTCCACTCTGCTATTTGCATGCATTTTCAATGTGCCAAAAACAGCATTTAGTTGCCCCAAACTAACTGTCTGTCCAGATTCCTGCATAGGTATGAATTATTGTTTCTAGAGCTCTTACTATGAATCTTCATAGTCTTTGAGCATCTAGTTTCTTCTTTTTTCTCATGAGTGCTTTAATTTTTTTCTGTGTGGGTTTTGCAGAATGTGACATTTTTTTGAATGCCTATTTTTTTTAAGAGAAAACACGATAAAAATATTAATATTCCCAATTCAAAATTGTGATTACATTTTTTTAAACTTATTTATTTGGTGGTGATGCTGAGGTTTGAACTTAAGGTCTTATGTTTGCTAGACAAGCACTCTACTGCTTGAGTCACTCCCCCAACCTTTTTTTGCTTTCGGTTTTTCCAGATCGTGTCTCATGCTTTTTGCCCAGGACTGGCCTTGGACCTTGATCCTTCTAGCTATGGTTCCTGCATCTCTGGGATTACGTACATGCACCACCATGGCGAGCATTTATGGAGTTGGAGCCTTGCTAAACCTTTTGGCTTGGCTAGCCTCGAATTTTGATTTTCCCAATGTCTACCTCACCAGTAGCTGGGATTACATGTGTGCACATCCACATCTAGCTCTTCCTTGATTTTTATTTTTCCCTTTTATGTTAACTTTGATGGCTCCTACTCCTAACATTAAATAAATATGTATCTGCGTTAGCCAAACAGGAGATTTAGAAAAGCAACACTAACATTGTACTAACAATATGATTGCTGAAAACAGTTTCAGTTTTTTTGTAGCTAGGCAACAATAAAAGGCTAAAAAAGGCTACCAATGCCTATAATCCCAACCCTTGGGAGGCTGAGGTGGGAGGGTTGTGAGTTTGTGGCCAGCCTTGGCTGTGTAGCAAGACCCTGACTCATTAACATAGATATGAATTTGATTTAACCAAATATGTGAGATTTAGAAAAGCAAAACCAATATTTTTGCTAACAATATGATTACTGAGCAGTTTTAAGTTTTTTGGTAGCCAGGCGTATTGATGATGCCTATTGTAATCTCGGCACCTTTGAGGCCAGTCTGGGCTAGATAACAAGACCCTGTCTTAAATAAACAAAAATGTGCATGCACGTGTGTCTGGGTGGGTGAGCGTATTTGCAAGTTTTTTGTATATAGGATATGTCCTGCTAGTATGACTTAAAGTAATCCCTCACTGTGGTTGATCTACCCACATAATATCTATTTAAGTTCAGCCTTTTTTCCATTTTGCTTTTGGTTTGTAAGCTCCCCACTCCTTTTCTTTATAGGTAACTGTTGGTTTTGCTTTCCCCTTTCATTGTTTTTTGTTGCTGTTGAATTTTTAGCACAAGCAATCATATATTCATATTGTCCCCTTTCTTAGATAAATTTTTGTACTATTCAGCCTATTTTGACTATTTTTTATTTTTGTTACTTGACTGTAGGTCCTGAGCATTGTTTTAGATCTAGCAGTTGTAGCTTTCCTCGCTCTTTGTTCTTACAGCCACAGGTGCCCTAGGTGATTCAGCAGTCCCTTGCTGAGTTGTTGCAGCTATTTAAATGTGCGATGAGTAATCTTATTGAAATAATTTTAAATAAATTTAAATTTTATTTTAAATTTTAATTATATTTTATGTTTAAATTTTCGTTTCTTATTTTATATATAAATATTTCATACTTATATTTTACATTTTAAATTATAAGTTTCAAATACGTTTAAATTTTAAACGTCTAAAGGTATTTAAATGGCTGTGATGAGCAGTGCTGCCATGAGCAGCCCTGGGTGTGGGGCTTATCTGTTCTTGCAGTTGCTTTGGGTCAGAGGAAAGTGCTGGTGCTCTTGTGCTGGGTCTGCAGACATCGCCCCTGTTCTTAACCTCAGACCCCATTTGCATTCCTTTGAAGCTGTATTAACCCTTTGTGATATAAATTGCAAATATTTTTCTCATTTTATCTTCTGACTTTGTACTTTTGTTTTTGTTTTCATTCAAGAGTTGTTAGTTTTTATAGATTATTTCAATTTTTGGATTTTGAATTATATGTAGGAAACTTTTCCTTATTCTTAGGTTGTATCAGGTTACAGGAGAACTTACCCATGTTTTCTTCTGTTGCAGATGTTTTCATTTTTAACATTTAGATCTAGTCCATTCAGAGTTTGTTTTTTTTTTTCTTTGTAGTACTGGGATTTGAACTCACAGCCTCTGCTTGTTAGGCAGGCGTGTCATCACTTGTGCCAGACCTGCAGCTCCTCCCATGTGTCATTTTCCCTGGGGCTAGCCTCGACCACAACCCTCCTACTTGGGCTTTATGAGTAGCTGAGGTTACACGTGCACTCTGTGCTCAGCTCATTTGTTAAGATGAGGTCTCACTAATTTTTTGCTGGAGCTGGCCTCAAACCTTGATCCTCCTGATCTCCACCTCCCAAGTAGCTTGGATTGTAGGCATATAACACCTTGCCTCACCTCCATTCAGAATTTATGCTGGTTTATGATGTAAGGGACAGATTCAGTTTTCATTTAGATCCATATCTAGTTTCATATAGTAATTCTCATTAAATCACTTACTAAAAAGTTCCTCACGCTGATTTGCGATTATAGTATTGATATTTATACTCTTCATTTTCCTTAACCTTATTGAGAAGTTTTAAAGTAGGCAAATTAAAAATGAGTCTGACCTTATTAAAATGTAACATTTTCAGGACACTCAGTGTTTACCTAATTTCACATCTAAGCACAATTGAATTATTGGCAAGGAAACTTTAAAACTGCCAAGTTTACTACTTTCAACACTAATGAAGTGTGACTTCCTTTCAGTGCCACAAGGTTGCAGTAGTGAGAGAAGATGATTTGGAAGGTAAGTAGTTCAGCAGCTCAGTGAGCTTTCCCTCTTTCCTCTCACAGCATCCACACAGCAGCAATAAAAAATGTTCCCTAACGTCAGCACATGATACAGTTAGCGATTTAACTGATGGTCCTTGTATTCCTTTTATTACTAGTTTTTGAAACGTTAAAATATGATACTATACTGCCTAACTGCCCATTTTTAGGTCCAGTAGCTGCTGACATTTATAAACCACTGTATCACAGGATTTCAAAACTCGTGACAGACATAGAGAAACCCATGAATTCCGTATCAGGCATCTCACCAACTGTAAGAAGACAGAAGCCTCTTAAGTATTGTGTTGTGTTTTATAGCAGTTTTTTCAAAAAGAGGACCAAAGAATGTTTTTCTAAAAGTCAGACTTCTAAATTAAATAAATCCAATTGTTTCAAGACTGTTGATGCTACTGTTCTATTGTTTAAATAACCAAATCAAAAAAAAATCTTACAACAGTCAGGGTCCTCATGATACTGGATCTATATCTCAAGACAGAATGTCACTGTTGTACTTTCTATATAAAGGCTCCTGTCAGTGGGATGAGGGGGTCCTTACCAAGTTAATTTTGAAGTATTGAACTTTTTCTTTCTGAATTTCCAGTGGTAGGCAAAGCAGATTTCTTCATTGCTACAGATACACAGTGATTATCAACTCTATATCAAGCTCTGTGGTAGGCGCTGGGGACAAAGGTCAAGTTAGGCACAGTCCCTTCCTTTGTGGAACCTAACATTTGTTCTCATGGTGGTGTTTTGGTTGTCTTCTGCAGACTTACCTAGTTACTAGTAATTGGTATATAATTACTTTGTCTAAACTAAAATTGGAATACATAAACAAGTCTTCTCGGGTAGAGACTATTTAGTTCGCTTCATATGCTAGTGTAAGGTTTTTCCCTGACTGAAAAAAAAATGCATCATAGCCATCATCAATCATTAATGAATATTTGCTCAGTGTCCACTGGATGAATGATACCCTTGCAGGTGCTGTACTTTGAAATGACTCAACACCACCTACCTTGTTATAATGTCCCCATTGGAGACAGAAGAGTTGATGTGCTGTATATGTGGCTATTTGGCCTTTTAGAGTTTTTTGACCACCACAGCTTGCAAGTGGTTTTAATGCAGAAAGGTTTCTTGTTAAAGTCCCCACATGCTATGAAGTTTGTGTATTAACAGACCTCTTTTCCTGTTGACTTGTAGCAGTGAAGTCCAAGCTAGTTGTGACTGCCAGCATCCATGTGTACAGCATCCAGAAAGCTATGCTAAAGGACAGTGGGCCTCTGTTCAATACCGACTATGACATCCTTAAAAGCAACTTGCAGAACTGCAGCAAGTAAGCTCCTTAATGTTCCTTGTGGGCTTCTTTACGAATTGGTTTTGTAAGATGTTTACACAGTGGCTGCCTCTTATGAGTGAATGCCAACTCTAGTAAAACCCCATTTATCTTGCAGTAAGACACATGCCTAGTTTTATTAGTACATCATAAGGTGAAAAATAGCAGCCACAACCCATATTGAAAACCCCAGTGGACTCCCCATAAATCTATTTCTCATATATTTATCCTGTCACTACCACTAGAAATGTTTGTTGTGCCCCCTCGTTACTCCCTTATCCCAGTCTCTGCTTGTCTTAAATCCTACCTATACTTCAAGAACAAGTTCAAATGTTGACCTTCAAAAAACTGTTCCTAATTTGATATTCCTTTGCCTTCCATCCAAAGCAACTTTTTCTTCAAGTTCTATAGTCTGGGTCAGATCTTGTGAGTCTGTGTCTTCCACAGCACAGGGAGGTGATGGGCTATGGTGTGATGCATGTGCATTTTGGAGATTGGCGATCATAGGCTTGAGCTGTACTTTGCTACTTCCTGCTCAGTGGCTGTGGATAAACTACTCAGAACTCGCTGAGCTTTGCTTTCTTCTTCTTTTAAATTAGATTAATAATGCCTATTTCATGGGATTGTATTGAGAGTTCAAGTCAGTTCCCTAGACATATGTTGTGAATATCTACTACTTAGACAATTACTAAACAAGATAACCTGAACTCATTCAGCAGATACCTATGAATACCTATGACACACCACCCACTGTAGAGAACATGGCCCAGTACCTGATCCTTGGGTTGATGGTCTGATGGGAGACAAGCAGTTGCTGTACAGTGTGGCAGTGCTATCATTGGAGGAAAGAAATAGTGTAGGAAGATGTTGAGCAGGCACTTATCCTCTACCTCTGGGTGAGTGGAGTGAGGTGTAAGACAGAGAAGGCTTCCTAAAGATTAGGACATCTAATCTGAGACCTGAAGGCCCAGCAGAAATAAAATAGCCAGGAAAGAAGTGGGAGAGTGAGGACAGAGCTAAGAGTGAAAACATGAAGCTTGTGTGGAACCACGATAATTAGCTATGCCTAGAACTTAAAGTGAGGGGTAGAAATATTTAGGAGATTGCAGAGGCCTGGTAGGAGTTGGATTGTGCTTTAACTAGCATTAGTTGTTTAGACTTCACTCTGAGAGCACTTAAAAGCCAGTAAAAGTTTTTAAGCAGATGGGGTGAAATGATTAGAACTACATTTTAGAAGAATGGCTCCAGCTACAATGCTGAAAGTAGAGCAGAAAGGGATAAGCTGAAGACAAGGTCATGAGGGAGCATGAATGCTATAGGGGTCCAGAGTGAAGATGATGGTTGTCTCAAGTGCAGTAGTGGTGCTGGATGAGAGATACAAAGGTCGAAGAGTTGTCACCATCAAACCCTAGATGTGTGATAATGGTTGGGGACAAGGTATTGGTATGGGGCGCCGTTTGTGGTGTTAAGGATAATCCCATGATTCTGGTTGAGCAGCTAAGTGCTAAGAAAGGGAATAAGAGGAGGAGCAGGCTTTAGGAAAGAGAGGAAAATGATAGATTGGGGTTTGGACATGTTGAGTTTGAAAAGCTTGTTGGGAAGTCCCAAATAGGGATGTCCATAGATAAGTTAGTCTTGAGCTAAAGAGAGATACTGGGACAAAGACAAAGATTTTACAATCAGAGAAAGTAGGTAAGCAGCTGAGCCATAGTATCAGACATGGTCATTCAGAGAGAATAAATAGAATGAATGGACAGAAAGTAAAACTCTAGGCCACTGTTACTAGCTGTATGACCTTGGAAAAATTATTTAACCTCCTTGGTTCAGCTTCCTTGTCAGTAAATGGAGCTAATGGGAGTGCTAACTTCACATTTAGTAGGGATTAAATGAACTAAAATATATAGTACTCTTAAAGTAGTATTTGGCACAATGTAAGCACTATTTAATGATAGCTATTTTTTAAGGGATGGACAGAATAAAAGGGGCCCAAGAGAGAGCAGACAGAGCTAAGAGGAAAATCATGAGAGGATGTGGGGTTCTAGAAGCTAAAGGAAGAGTTTTAAGAAGGAAGGACTGCTGGGCAATGTCAAGTGCTGCTGAGAAGCCAAGTAAAATAGAACTGAAAAGTGTCTTGGATCAAGTGATGGCATAGATTGTTTCAGTGCAGCTACCATATTCTGGTGGGAAAAAGATACTGGTGGAGATGAGATAACTGACAGAAGCAGGTCCTTGACAAATAGATACAGAATTGTCAACCATGGTTTCTTTTAAGTCCCATGAAAATAGGGACTGTTGTCTATTTTGTTAACTGTATACTCAGATGGTGCCTGGCAATAGTAAGTGTTCAGTAAATAATTGAGTGAATTATTTGTAGACAGTTTTTTTGTTTGTTTGTTTCTAAACTTTGAGTATAATAAGCATTCAAATATTTTTAAACAAATAATTATCTAGTCAAAATATAATTTATAAGTCCAATATCTTTTAGAGGTTACCCTTTCATGCTTCAAGAAAGCATTAACACCTTGATAGGTTTATGTAAAATATATTATTAGATTTAAAATTTTGTCATAGCATATCACGCTCTATAAATCAGTTCTTTTATATCTAGAAGAAAGGAAGCAAGAACAAAAGTGACTCAAAAGTTCAAAAGGTAATTTACCCAGGGCCCACTAAGAGAAACAGGGCAAGTAAAACTGTGGTATTGAGAGGCACTTAATGCCACTTTCCCTAAATACTTATAGTATCCTCAGTAGAAATGTGAGGAATTTATCTTCAGTAAAGAAGTTTGCCTTGGTCCTGAGAATTATGGGCCAACTGAGATCTGACTCATGATTTTATGTATTTTAAGAAATGCTGTGGCAGGAAGAAAGTTGAAATTTTAGGATCAAGCATATTCTTCTCTGTTCGGACATGGTCCCAGCCTAACTTGGTCTCTTCCTCCTTGCCAATTCCTGATCCTGACCCTAAGGTGTGGAATGCAGACCAGACAGAGAAAGAGTTGTCTTGGGGCCAACTTTAGATGCTGACAATGAAATAAAACATTGCCCTTTCCCTTGTACATGGAAGTACTGCAAGGTCAGAGAGGAAGACCAGTGGATGAGAGTAAATGATTTCCATCTGTTGTTCTTAGCTCTGATGCACCAAAGATGTGAGTTAATGTAAGGTTTTTTGCTGTGGACCATAATGAATCAGTTGAAGGTTTTTGTAGCTTTGGGGCTGTTCATTCTAAAGTAATTTGTGAAATGAAGTTTATGTCAGGGGTTTTTTTCCTTAGGCCAATTATTCTAGCTGTTAGTCTCAAAGTTGTACCTGTGACCTCTGATAATTACCATCTCCATGTAGTTTCTAAACCTCCCCCTGTCCTTTCAGTCACTTAAATAGTCATTCTTCCTTATATTCGCTGTGTGCCAGTGCCTGAAATATAACTACCCCACCCACAAGTACTTTGTTGGGGAGAGTTGGGAAGCTCCCCTTAAAGAAGGCTGAATGAGTTACCCATTCACAATTTGGAACATTATATTATGGATTTGTGTGAAACAGGCACCTTGACAATAAGAGATGACTGTTCCCTTTAGTAATGTCATGCACGCTGTTCACCAATGTCTTCACTCGGCCTTCTGCGTACTTACTTGTCTAGTGCTGCAAGTTGATATTAGAAATTAAGAAGTAATGGCTGTATAGGAACCAGTGGCTGTGTTCCCTGCTTCTTCTCTATCTGAAAGCATAACCCACTCTGGCCAAGAAACTTGCCAAGAAACTCGTTAATATTTAAAGCTTTTAGTTTTGATTCAGTCAATAGTTATTGAATACCTAGCTCTATAAGAGGAATGCCTTTAAATAAGGGATAGACATTTGGTTTCCCAAAGATGGTTGAATTACCAAATCTTTTATTATTGTTTGATATAATCTTGCTCATTCAAATTAGGTTTTTCCTTTTGTCCCCTAAAACTAGCAAGGGTATTCAATATGGTGTGGTAGAAGACTTATAATTCCAATTCTAGCTCTATTACTAAATAGATACATAACTTAGGATTAGTCCTTTATTAACTTCTTACCAATACTTGTTTCTTTATCAAAAATTTTTTCTAAAACCCATTCTACTTCTGAAATCCCTTAGTTTTATATTAGGGTTAGAAGACACCATGTAGAAGAAGCAAGTTTGAAAACAAAATTTGATCCTGACATGAATTTGACCTATCATTTCTGTCCTTAGGTTTAGTGCGATACAGTGTGCAGCAGCAGTCCCAAGGGCTCCTGCAGAATCCTCAGCTTCCAGAAAGTTTGAGCAGTCAGATCTTCAGGCATCAAGTGAGACATATGTCAATAGTGAGCCAACCACCAATGGTCATGGCCCACTTGCTTCTAAACAGGTTTCCCAGCAGCCCAAAGGAATTATGGGAATGTTTGCCTCCAAAGCTGCTACTAAAATGCAAGATACCAACAAGGAAACCAAAACAGAGGCTAAAGAAGTAACAAATGTAAGTATTCTTTAAAGATAACATCTTTATTATATAGCACAAAATGGGTATCTAGGAAGGCAATTAAGTTCAGTTCTGAACATTCAGTTCTGATTTTTCTACTTTAGTTTGAACCCATTCATACTTGATATTTTCATCTGGATTAGTCCTTTTTCTTTTGATAATACTTCTCACCAAGCCTTGGACTCTCTTTCTATAAAATAGTAGCCTTCTCTGTATACATAAGATTGTGGGACCCAGTTGAACTAATGCATGTGAAAACACCTCAAAAATTGTGAAGTTAAAGGAAGTGTATATATTAGCAATGTCATTTTGAGACTATCTTCTCTTCTAGACTTTGCTATGCATACCTTCCCTAGTATATTTAATATTCTTGCTTTGTTTTAAGCAATTTTTTCACCTTTTTTTTCTTCATTGATTTTGTTTTCAATCACCTAAACTAACCTGAGGGCATTGATTTAAGAAAAGTACCGCCTGGCATGGTGGATGCCTGTGATCCCAGTACTCGGGAGGCTGAGGCAGGAGGATCACAAGTTTGAGGCTATCTGGACTATATAGTTGAGACCATGTCTCAAAAAACCCAAAACAAACAACAATCCAAACTAAACAAAACATCAAGATACTATGTTAAAATTCCAGAAATTACAGTCATTGTTATTACTCTTACTACATCATTGTCATTTTTAAGCTTCTGTCTAAAAGGAGAAGGATGGAGGGAAACATAAACGTCCCTACTGTGTGTAACAAAGTTAGATCTTTGTTTAAATTCTCTTATGTTTAGATCTTACCAGTTTTATTTTGTATGTGCTAAAACAGAAGCCTGCATTTGTTAAGTAATTTGCCTGGAGGTCATATTACTATTGAATGGTAGAACCACGATTTAAATCTACTTCTGATGATTAAAAATGTAACATTTTGCTGTTCCCCTCTTTGTGTACCACACTGCCTTGGGTTTGTTTTAATTCTGTTAATCTAAATAGTTTTTAAATGTGCTCAGGAAAAGCTTAGATACATCCCTAGGTAATAATTTTGTAAGAACTCTGAGAAATAAAGCTTTAAAAATTAACATCCAGATACCATCTGGTCTGGATTATTGTTCTAGGTTAGGTTTTACATCTAACACCTATACATTTTGGCATGTTTTTAGGAGAGATTGTTCAAGACCATGCTACTTCAAGAGCAGCCTATGTGTTTTCTTTCCTATGTTTTTAGGCATCTTCAGCAAGCAGCAAAGCACCAGCAAAAGGGAATGTGATGAGCAATTTTTTTGGAAAAGCTGCTATGAGTAAGAATGTTCTTAATTTCCTCTGACTGATAAGTGAATGTTAATGTAATAATGTGTTACACCTGAGGTGAAGGCCCCCTTAGGCTAACTTTTTTTGCCCATCCAGACATCCCTGCTTCCTAAAAGATTTGCACTGTACTAACCAATATATTGATGAAAGTAACAAGCTGGCCCATTGGATTTTTGGTGCTCAGTTGAGATCTCTTGGAGGGTAGTTTGCACTGTTTCTTCATTTATTTTTTGCCTTGAAAAGAGAATGAAATATTTGCTTCATAGTGCTCTAGAAAATAGGTGCTTAAAATACAAGGGAGGCTGTCTAATTAAGCAAGATAGTATTGTGGTTAATATCATGGGTACCTGGTATGACCTTTATTACTTCTGTCTCCCAAGGGGCCACAAGAACAAGTCTTTTGCTTCTTTAGTATATCTGTAGATTACTCACAGTACCTAGTTAAATCTCAGTATGAATTAAGACAGCCCAGAGAGTAATGACCATTTAAGCATATATTTAAATAAGAATTTTTTCTAATGGAAAGAACCAATAGCAACATGTTTTTAGTCTTCTCATATCAAGTACACATCCCCTGGGGAATGTGGCAGAATACCAGGAAGAACAGGAGCCACAGGATAGCACACTGTCTTGGAGCATCAGTTCTATGAAGATTCTGCGGCATTTCGTTACACACCAATGCAAGCAAAAGTAGTCCAGACTCTGCCTTTCCATGACAGTCAGATTGGTATAATAGTGTTTTATTCTTCATGAAAACCCAAAGAAGATCATTTTTGCATGCAGAAAGTATGTAGAAAATGTGATACTTTAAGGTTATTGAGAAGCATAGTGGTATGCTTGCAGGCACAATGCATGTGGGGTCTTCCTACTTTTGTGACCTGCGTGATTGGCACTGGACCACTATGCCCAGTCAGATTATGGCTTCTTTGCAATTTTATTGAGAACCTTGTGTTTGCTTACTGTTTTTATGTGTTTGTAACCTTAACAACAAGTGAACTTTTAAATTGTTTGTAAAACATGTAAGATATGTGAATAATTGGTAATCGAAAAAATACCAAACTATATGTAAGTGTATATTTATTTATTCATGTTTATTGAGCAATTACTATATATACTTGACAGTGCTAGACACTGGTGATGCAATGGGAAAAAACACAAAGTCCCCGCCCTCATGCTCTTACATTCTATTGGAGAGACAAACAAAAAATATATGGAAAAAATAAAAGAATTAATGATTATAATTGCTAGGCAGATGTTATATAGCATGAAATATGGGAAGAGGAAACCTGGACAAATAAAAAGGATTAGATGTTACCTAATAAAAAGAATCACTTACAAAATTGATTTAACAGGTGTTTTTGGAAGGCTTAACGTTCTGGGTAAAGTTATGAGTTTTTACTGTATTTGACACATGATGAGACAACTGCACTGGAAATAAAGCTCGAGAGTTGTGAAGGAAGCACATTGTGGGGCGTGGAGCCATTTTACCTTAATGCTGGACAGCAGCAAGTGTTGGCAGGGTGCAGAGAAACTGAACCTTCCCACGATGTTGTGCAGAACCCAGTATAATACACTCACATTGGAAAACCATGGCAATGCCTTAAAAAGTTAAACAGAGTTACCTAATAATTTCACTCCCCAGTATCTACTCAAGTGAGTTAAAACTGTCCACACAAAAATTTGTATAAAATGTCTGTAGCAGCATTTTCATAATAACCAAAAAGTAGTAACAACCCGTCAGATGTCCACGACCTGAATGACTAATCAAAATGTGGTATGTCCAGACAATGGAATATTATTCAGCCATGAAATGGAATGATATTCTGTCATTGACAACATGTTTACTGTCCTATTCAATTTGGGATATTTTGGTGGGAAAGTTGAGAAGTACTGTATATGTGAGAACAATGGTATTGAAAATGCAAGCAAGTGAGCCACCATTGTGGGCTAGTGGATTCCAAAATCCAGGTTTCCCATTCAGGCCTTCAAAAATATAAACAGATTGCATTTTACATTCTGATCCATCATCTACACTTAAGAAATAATATACATGATTTATAAATTATCACACTAATCTGTATGTAACAGCCAAAGCTGTCAGTCCTTTTCTTAATTACATAGTAGATGCCTTAAGCTGTCACAGGACATGTGACTAAAACTACTTAATAAAGAGCCTCCTCCTGCTTATAGTTTTCTAATTTTATTTTGTGACTTTGCTTGTAAAAAGCTCTCAGTGAGTATAGAGTGTGAAGGCTAGATAATAGGCTTTTATAGTTGCTCAGATAGGTAGGCCTATCCTGCTTAATTTCTTTGTCCTGCATGGTGCAGTGTGTATGTATATGTGTGGGGGCGGATGTGTTTCAGCTTGGTGTAAGGAATAGGGTTAGGACTTTGAGGAGTTAAACCAATTTAGGTCCATGTCTTAGCTCTTACTTTTCTTATCAATGTTACAATGAGTCATTTAACCTCCTATCTTTCAATCCTTATGATAATCTTGTAATATCATCTTAGTTTTCACAGAGACAAATGACATTTAGATTTGCCCAGAGGGAGATAGGAGACGAACCAAAGTAGTAGTCTTTCAGTTTTCTCATGAAGGTAGTAGTGAGATAATAAATATCCAGGCATAACAGGCAGAAACTAATTGAAATGATCTTGCTGTAATATCTGCTGTCACCATTTTTAAGCTGTGTACTCTTAATCCCGTGACTCTTGATTCTTCTCATTAGGAAAGTGAGAAAGATAATTCACAAACTGGTTTTCCTTCAGTCTTGTTCTTACTGTCATTCGGCTTGGAGCTGATACAACGAGAGATTAACAGGAGGCAGAAATGAAAAGCTATAGCTAGAGCAGTCATTGGAAAGAAGAAATGTTTTCTGAGCTCTGTTAGGACAGGGACTGTTTTTTATGTTTTTAGTCCTTACTAACATATTTCCTGGCACATAATAAACTGTCAGGAGACTGACGGATTAATATTGCATGATGTAGTTATATATTGTCTGCTGTACTTTATTTGTAGATAAATTTAAAGTCAACTTGGAATCAGAGCAAGCAGTGAAAGAAGAAAAAATAGTGCAGCAACCTCCAGTGTCTGTCACTGAACCAAAGCTGGGAGCTCCCGCTGGTCGAAGAAAGGCAGTTTTTGGTCAAGTACTAAGTCCTACTTAATGCCTTAGGGGTACAGCTGTACAACCAGAATGAATAAAGAAGCTAGGTAGTTTATCTTATAAAGTTGGTCTGTGCATTAAGCCAGCCAGGGTGATTTAGGGCCCAAAGTCATATTTTTGTCCTCATTGATCTAAAATGATTATCTTTTGCCCTGTGTTAAATCTGCCAATGAAGTGAGGATGT